GCTGATAAGCCATCTGATTTTGCTATAAAGGGCAATTCTAGGCATATCACCGATTCATTAGGATGGTACACAGATGTGCCAGTTACTATGAAGGACAAAGAGAGTGAGATAGTCACAGTCATTGGAAATTTTGTATGTATAGATAATGGCGAACCTGAACCAATACTATTTTTAGGTATGTCAAATATTCGAAAGCTTCAAGGTGTTCCCGAGCCAAATAAAAACCAGTTCTGCATAAAGTTACATAGGAAGACCTATGTTATTCCAACATATAGTAAGGCCCTAGTAGCTAAGGATCTGCCAAAAGAGAAGCAAAAGGTAGTCCCTCAGGAATCCTCCACGCATGATTTAGCCCAAGTATTTACCGATTCCTCTAGCCTAACTAGTGAGGATGATTTAAAAAAAAGTGCGTAAATTGTATGGATTATGGAGATATGATAATTCGTATGAAAGAGCTCGAAAAGGCATTATTTTCTAGCATTTAATTGAATTTGAAAATCATAGAATACTATAATAATTTGCTTGACCGATATGAAAAGATTTTTCTAGGACCAAATAAGGTTGAATAATTATTTAAAAACAAGAGCATGACAGATGCTCTAATTTTCTCTATTTCAGAACTAGTTCTCTTATACAAATCCAAGACATCTTCAGAAGATTCAGTAGATGAAATAGAATCAGAAACGCGAACAGTTTCAGTTCTCGATTTTCTTTCTCCAGTCTTTTTCACCTTACTATCTGAAACAACATCCTCTTCCAAAGCTAAATTAGTAGATTTGCTAATTTTAGTATCATGTATCTTGTTTTCCCATGCTATGAAGACAGAATCAAATTTATTAGCATCATGATTGGAATTTTCACTTAAGCTAAGTATATTAATATTTGATCGCAATGCCTCTTCTCTAGAATCTATTAGTGAATGATTCTCTCTTCATATTTGATATACATGCCTTGTTGATATTTTGTATTTGTTTGCCATAGCTTCTGATACACGTTTCATTGAATTTCTAGCATTAATGATATCTTGTATATTATCATCAGATAAAGGAGTTGTATCAGATTGCAGATATCGAACTTTTTTTTCTGAATTTTGTAACATGATATATTTAAAATAAAAAATATTTAGATAATAATTCAAAAAAAATTCAATACTGTTTTGATATATATCCAATCCTTGTTTAGTGTTTCTGAACCATTCGGTTAACATCCGATCTCATTTCGGTGTTTCTGAACTATTTGGTTAACATCTGATCCTATTTCGGTGAAAATTCAATTTAGATATATCGGTTAATATCTAATCCTTATTTGATTGGTCCTTATTGTATTTATTTCTCGTTTAAGCCGTTCGTTTTCATCTACTAATCTTGTTGTATAATCTTGTACTTTAGGCATGTTTCTAGCTGATTTAGATATTTCTCATATTCTGGTTTTTAATTTTGTTTCACGCTCATCGAATTCTAATATTAATCTATCCTTATCTGAAATTTTCTTGTCTTTCTTTTTATTTTCTTCCTCGAGTTGGTGAACGATCCTTTTTAGTTTTGAGATTTCTTTTTTTAACTCCTCTTTCTTTTCTGTAGAAACTTCGATTGTGTTATTTAACTCTTCTTCAAGAAATCTTATTCTTTCTTCCCGTATACTAATAACTCTTTCTAAGGTATATAATCATTGTTTGAAATTCCTATTTGATTTTGCTAATTGGGATACTACCTCATAGAGTTTTTGATTACTTTGTTGCAATTTCTCTATACTTTTTTATTTACTATATTGATTGAGAAATTGCTAAATTCATAAAAGAGAATCAGTATGGAAGAACCAGTTATTTATATCGATCCTCAGAGAGCACGGGAGCTAGATCAGATTATTGCAAAACAAAAACCTACAATTTTTATTGATTCTCAGAAAGCTCATGATCTAGACCGACATCTTGCCTTACAGAAGCTATATTATCACCCTGAGGGCTTTTATCAAAATGCAAAATGATTATGGAATGCATGTAATAAAACTGGTTACACTTTCTTATTTACTGATATAAAAAAATGGCTTGATAGTCAGGTGATATATCAAATTTTTCGGTCTTCACCGAGACAAATATCTTATGCTAGTTACTCTAAAATCACGAAGCCAAATACCGTACACTAGTGTGATCTGATTGAAATACTATATGATGTAGATACAAATTTACTAGATGATGATCTAATATTTTACTATGTATTATTAGTTATAGACTGTGCAACTAGATATAAAGATTTCATTTTTTTAACGTCAAAAAGTAGTGAAGAAGTTGCAGAAGTATTTAAGAGTAAATATGATAACCCTGACAACCCTCTTAACTGGCCTCGGCTATTGCAATGTGATGAAGATCATGAGTTTATAGGAAGCGTGACATTGATAATGGATGAACATAATGTTAATATCTGGAGAATTAAGGCACATTTTAGACACACAAGTATGGCAATGGTTAATCATTATGCCAGATTATTCAAATTAAGAGTTTTTAAAAACCAGTATGCAATAGAGTTTCTCTTACCTACCGGTGAACGCTGTAGAGAATGTGAACGGTTTGCATGAAAGATTGTTGACAATATGAATGATACTCCAACCTGATTAATTGGATTGAGTCCTAATAATGCCATGAAACTTGAATGGATATATTCCAAGCCATCGGTAAAATATAATCATCCAATAGGCATTGATGAACCACAACTATCAAAGAATACTACTGTTCGATTTCTGCTTGCTCCCGGAGAGTGAAAAAATGATCCTTTTGAGTGACGTAGAATAACAGATCTCATATGGTCACCTAGCCTTTATAAAATTCGAAGAATTGTTGTTGAAAAGAATCTCCCAATGCCTGTTTTATATTATTTAGATAATTCAGGACCTCAACGTCCTTTTGTGAAAAAACAATTAATGCATATTAAGGAAGAGCCTACCTATGCTTCCTCCTAGATGGTTCTTATTAGAAGGAAACTGAATGCATACAAGGCGCTTTTTATAAAAGTTTCTAAATCAATGGCGCAGTAATAAGGATTACTCCTTCTCTATAACATAGAGCCCTCTTTTTCCAGTCACACCAAATTTGTGTATCTAGATTTATTTGTCCTTGCGGATGATGAAAAAAAAGCACGATTTGGTAATGTTGATTACCACTATATTCGAAGGCCAAACCTAACTCTTCATTGTATCTATCCAGATGTAATCCTTCCAAGAACTTAGGTTTTTGGAATAGAAATTTTTTATGCAATAAATCTTCAAATATATATCGGCATGTTCTTTCCAATACATTAGAGCAAATATTACACCATTAGTAATTCTGTTTCATATTTTTATATGATGCCTCCCATTGATGACCCTTTTTACATACCCATAAATATGTATTAGAATTAGTATTAACTTTCATTAAGCATCTTCCTTCCTGCCTTTGGGCGTATGCTAAGGCTTTA